GAAGTAGTTGGCCTGGCGCAGGCGTGCATTTGAACCCAATGGACTTTTCAGCACTTCTTACCACAAAGCTTCATGCAGCTCTCTACTCTGACCCTAAGTCTACTGGTATTAGTTCACCTTGCGCAGAAGGTGTAAACTGTTCCTCGTTACCGTACTATCATTGAGGGGGTTCTGCAAAATTTGCAGAACCCCCTCACCCCCTTATATCTCATTCCACACTCAACCAAAAAATGTTGGGTAAGCTCAGGCAGGTATATATACACTAGAATAGACCCTCTGCCAAGTCAGAATGGGAATATCTGCTGTGGTTGAAAAGAGGGAGAGAAAACGGGTCCTGTAGGCCATGGGAAAGAAACAGTGTCCACTAGATCTCTCGTGATGCTCTCAACGGACTGCAGCGGAATGGCTTGGGATATCATGAATATGCCGTCTACAGTACAATACACCAGCCCGATAGAGTAAATAATGAGCGTGTCGAGATAGAGAGGCAACTTTGCACATCTCCCGGGCCCATATCGTGACAAAAGCGTGACATCGCTCGCGGCGAGATCCCACTGTGACCGCATGTGACGCCTTTTTGCAGAACCCCCTACATGAACCGGCATCTCTCTCCTACGTTCCACAGGCTGCATAAAAATGCACAAAAATAATGAGGACGTTCATCACTAAGTTACACACAATATGCGGAAGATCCGATAAGAATCCGTCAAGTGTGTGGAATGCTACGGCCGAATTCGATACTTTTTGCAGAACCCCCTCAATGATAGTAGGCTAAGTTTCACGCGACGAAGTCCGTCACGAACGAGATAAGAACGCGGTCACGTGCCCAGCGCGTCTACCTGGACCCACAACTCCCAAACATTTAATTTTCAACATAACGCGTACACCATCACACGACAGAGCCAGAGCTTCAGTTTCCCAAGAAATTAGAATTGTACAGGAGACGTCGCACTAGACAGACTACAATAACATACACGCATAATGATATACGGTGCGAGCTACGAGAATGTCAGGCCAATGCGGATAAATATGCAGAGGAGCGTGAGTGCGAGGAAAATATGCATGAGGGGGGGGAGGGAGGCTATGTACATCAAGGAGAATGGGAGAGGGAGGGAGATAATGTACAGGAGACAACGCGAGAGAGAGCATGTGCAAGCAAGAGAAAGAGAAATGGAAGAGAGATAATGGGACGTGAGATTCAGGCCTTGAGCCTAGTGGTCGTAACCATAGATGCGTGCCACCGAGGGCGGAGTCCGAGTCATAAGCGAGATCGAGGTAGAATAGAAGATGATGATAGATGCGATGAGGTAGAGCGAAACGTCATGTCTTGAAGCCGGAACGTAGTCGGTGCGATCGTGGGTGGCATTGACAAGAGTGACAGTGGACGTGCGAGATCGTGAAGCGGAGTTGGTCGAAAAGATAGGCATAGGCAACAAGCAATTGAGAAAAGGAATAATGATGATAGAAGGAGGAGCGAGGACGGGCTCCTATAACTCGAGGGTATCGGCCTCCTCCGGGGACAGGCTGCGCTCTCGCACCCGCCGGTAACGCTCAGCGGACTTCGACGGCGAGGAGAAAGTAAAGTTCGAATAGATTTGTTTCCTCTCAGGGGTGGAGAAGGTCTGGGGAGCCTCAGCGGCGGGCGAGGTGCTCCGAAGGCGGGGCTTGATGCCAAGGTCGAGAGCGGAGGGTATGAAAGTATCGCTGATTTCGGGTTCGAGGGATTTATCCTAGTAGTAGAGGTCAGCAACCACATCGACAACACACAGGGCACTGCTACTGACCCTTTGCATTTTAACCGGGGAAGGGGGGAGAGCTCGCCTCTTCGACGGCGAGCCACCCTCGTACGCCTCGCTAACATCGGCGAGCGGCAGGACAGTGAGCTCGTAGCAGCGCGAATCAATGTCGGCCTGGGATCGCGGCAGCTCTTCTTCGTCCTCCTGGAGGATGGGGAGGGAGGGGGACCGGGACCGGGCCTTGGGCTTCCGAGCCTTGGTGGTCTTCTTCTTGCTAGACCCAGCCTTGGGTTTCGATTTCTTGGTGTCGCCATCGGCCTTCGACTTGAGGGGGTTGAAGTTCTCCAACAAAGGCTGAGCTGCCTTGGAGGCGAGGACAGCCTTGCGCTTCTTGGACTTGGGCGCGGGGGCGTTGACGCGGAGACCCGTCAAGGGGTCGATGTTCTCCTTCTCGTGCTCGAGAAAGACTGAGAAGGAAGACGATATGGTAGTAATGGAGGTAGCCGTGGTGATAGTAGAAGTTGTTTTCAAAGTCGTCGACGACTCAGCCACTGTGGCCTCGTCAACGAAGACGGAGAACGCAGCCTTAACAGACGCCATCTCTTAACGATATCGATGATGTTATGTAGAAGGTGGAGGAGGATAGGAATGTCGCTGCAAGCCGCGAACACGAGGAGTCGGACGGTGGTGGTGGCCTCGGGTCGCGGCTGGTTGAGGTGAAGGAAAGGAACGTTGAGGGACGATCGGATTTATTGGGCGATTCAAACTCCGCCATATGTTCGCACGGCGTGCGGCGGTGCCCACGGTCGCGCGTCGCGTCGCGTCTTCATCACGTGCTTTGACGCGCCTCGCGTTTAGGCGCCCCAGTCTGGACGTGTAATTCCTCGAGGAAAGCATTGTTACAAACTGCTGGAGAGCTTGTCCGTAAAATGCTACAAATTATACGCCGTGTAACTTTGTTGCAGGTATTACTGTGCTACCTCCTGACGCGTCGGTGGCGTACGAGGACCGTTAGCGTTGTTGAATCCATCATTTCCGGCGTTTCCCACTGGCCTTCTGCAGCCGACGGCCAAACTGGTCGTGAGTTCCTTGAAGTTGAACACAAAGTAGCGAACGCTGGGGTACACGTGAGTAGGTGACTGAAGGTAACTTTGAGAAATTCATGATCAGTCCGTAATGGCGCGCTTCAGAGCACGGTATGTCTGGCCTAATATGGAAGTTACAATGCTTAAAATGATTATGTCATGTATTTTTATTTTGATGTGTTCTACCCCTGGTGCTTCAGGCAGACAAGAAGGTGGAGGTTTATACAGTTCTCCCTTTAACCCATACCTCCATGTAATGTGCTCTGGTCCCTCTTGCCCTACCATCTCCGCTGGTCGGGGATCCAGCCACCATACCCCCGCGTCTCCGTATTTTGTCCTGTGTGCTCATCTCAATTTCGAGACAGAACTTGGCAGCACTGTATCCTTCCCGAGAAGGGATCTACATGCAGGCCAGATGGAGGCCAGAAAGTCAGTTCAGGGCTTTAGGCCGGATTCGCCACGTTTAGCCCTCCATCGGCGCTGCCTCGGTGCCCACGGACCGAGACCTTGCCAATGGCAGAGCGACCGTGGCTGGAGGCATATGGCGGCTCATATGGCGCACGCACGGCATGATCGTCTGCGATAGCAAAACAGGTATGCATCGCCAGAACAGGCGCATACGCTGGTCCAATCCGGCCGATCTTCCAGCATGCTCTGCATTTTGCCTTGTTCCTAGGCTCTGTTTTTATACGCGCCATCTGCGTCTTTGGCCGGCACTCCTTCCTTGCTGCTGCGACCATCCACGAGCTCCCTGCGGCGAGCTGTCTATACTTTCTTGCATCTCGGGACTTCAGCGGTAGCAGCACATCATGCGTCGGTATCAGCTTCATTGGCGCGAAGAGTTATAGGGCTGATTGGGTTACAAAGGTCTCATCATCCGCGATGACCCCGCCGCTGTCGGAGAGTACATTGCGAACTATATCGCCAAACGGTGTGTTGCTCAGAATGTGTAGTTTGTGGTGATGCTGAGATACATGCGCGGACAGCATCAATGATTTTGCACCCACCGCCGAGAAGCCATTCGTCCTCGGTTTACCGACCGGCTCCTCGCCAATCCCGACCTACAAGGCCTTGATCAAGCTAGTTAAAGCGGGCAAGCTATCGTGAGTCCCTCTTCACATCCTTCCGTGGCCCCTTGCACTTTGTCGACACCCGTATCACACTCCTGCTGACCACTATCTCAGATTCAAGCATGTCGTGACCTTCAACATGGACGAGTACGTCCACCTCCCGCGGGACCACCCCGAGTCCTACCACACCTTCATGTTCCGCGAGTTCTTTTCGCACAGTGCGTCCCCCCTCTCCCCCCGTCTCTTCCCATCGTGCATACTGATCCTGCCGCGCAGTCGACATCCCGCCGTCGCAGGTGAACATCCTGAACGGGAACGCAAAGGACCTGATCGCGGAGTGCAACTCGTACGAGCAGCGCATCAAGGACTACGGCGGGATCGAGCTCTTCCTCGGTGGGATCGGCGAGGACGGACACATCGCGTTCAACGAGCCCGGTAGGCGCCATCCCATCCCTCCCATCCTCCCCCCTAGCCTCTTCGGATCTGACTGTCGTTAATGATCAATGACGAACGCAGGCTCGTCGCTCGTGTCGCGCACGCGCATCAAGACGCTCGCGTACGACACCATCCTCGCCAACGCGCGCTTCTTCAACAACGACATCGCCGCCGTGCCGCGCATGGCGCTCACCGTCGGCGTCGGCACGGTGCTCGACAGCCGCGAGGTCGTCGTCATCGTCACCGGCCAGCGGAAGGCGCTCGCGCTGAGCAAGGCGATCGGTGGGTGGAGCCGCTTTTGTGTGGCGTGTGATGCTGACTTCGTTGCGCGCTGGTAGAGGAGGGTGTGAACCACTTGGTATGCGTGCGCATTCGTCGCTGCGGAGGCGGTTGTTGATCTTGATCTTTCCGCAGTGGACGCTGTCCGCGTTGCAGCAGCACCCGTGGGCCCTGATTGTCGTTGACGAGGACGCTACGGCAGGTACGTGGTACACTGCCCTCCTTCAGCTACGGCGCACTCATCGCTCGGTTTCGCCAGAGCTCCATGTGAAGACGGTCAAGTACTTCAAGTCCATCGAGCGGGTGCAGGACGAGGTCGAGCGGATGCACCGCGAGCTGCGGGAGAAGGGCGTGCCGGAGAGCGATAACAATGTGGGGAGCATGGAGTAGATGGGCAGCGCGGCTGCGTTGTAGGCGTGTTTATGTATCTCTAATAACCTTTATGCAGTAAATCTGCAGGAAGTCTTAGGTTCGCATATGTATGTTGCTCGAGCAGACTCAAAACACTGGTATCCCCGGACGTTCACCGGAGTCCGAACATCACTACATTGACCCTTCGTAGAAACTCTCAATGTGTATCTTACATGGGTATGATACATACTAGAATACAAATGGAACACAGGTACATGAGATTATTCCAGGCCTCGCTATCCAGTTACAATAACCGGGCAATACAGCCAATTTCATTGGCTATAAAATGCTTTTTCCCGTCAATTGAACGAGAAGGAGCTGGTTGCCCGGGACTGGAATAAAAAGCAACGTAGCGATCAACGTCAGCGGTGGACAGTGCCCTGATCTGGTCCACATGAGTTAAGGCAGGTAGACCCTGACAATCATGATCACTGGAGGATTCCATGTCGAGGACTACAACGGCAGACTTACCTGCGAAACTGGGTATTCGCCACGAGCATTGGGGACCGCAACGTACTTCCCTTCACCACGCCTAGCATTTTCAGCCTACAGACGTCCTCAATCTTCAGGTAAGAAACAAGAATGCTGCCCACTCACGATTTTTGCAATGATCTCTGTCGCAATCAAGCGGTCCTCTGTCGCAATCAAGCGGTCCTCTATCCTACCCACCCGGCCCTCTATCCTGTCCAACCTGTCCGTCAGCTCCCGCATGGCAGTGTGAAACCAGGGAGGAGCAGCAGCTACTCGGTAGTCAACACATGCCACTCCGGAAAGAAATGTATAGACAGGTACCTTCTGCTGCCTTTGCCGCTGTAACGCTGTGGTGGAACTTGTGCGCCTCAGCGACGGCATCGACGGACGGTGCGGCTGTCCCGCCCATAGCTGATGAAGATTGATTAGGGACGACGGGAATGCTAGGGACGACATCCTTACCAAAGGCCAGCTCGACGCGGTGGGCATAGATGCCTGCGTTCACCACGTCCTGGCTGCTGGGCGGGTCCTGGGGCTGGGGAGGGATGTCATAGCCGGTGTGGATGACAGGTGGTTGGATGGCCATCGCGATGGTTCAAGTTGTGATTTGTCTGTGAGACTGTCACGATGCAATTGTAAGACGCGACGTGTTACAGTTCTCAGCATCACGTGAGCGTTCCGAGCACACACAGTGGCACCATGTCCGACACACTCCGACTATATATTATATGTGACTTTCTGAAGTGATGGCCTAATGATCTGCAAGCGGCTGTAACAAATGTTGAAATAATCCTTGCAAACGGAACACGAGCGCATTTGCCCCGAACGGTCGGTTGCCCGAAGGACATTCGCATACTGTACATCGAGTAGATACAGCAAATCTATACAATCTCCTTACCACCTTATCAGTCGGGCTCGCCTGCGCCGTCCCCCTCCCCCGGGGGCTGTCACCATGCGCCGTGACGCGGCGCGAGCTTGCCAGCTCAAAATCCGAAATCCAACAAACAATGTGGGGAGCATGGAGTAGACGGGCAGCGCGGCTGCTTTGTAGGCCTGTTTATGTATCTGTAGTAACTTTTATGAGTAAATCTGCAGGAAGTCTTATAGGTTCGCATATGTATGTGGCTCGAGTCTAAGCAGACTCAGTACCGTAAATGGTATCCCCGGACATTCACCGGAGTCCGAATAATATGGCATGTAGGCAGGTTCCCCGCGTACTTCAGGGGGAGCTTATTTATCTGAGGTCAAGTTGATAATTTTTTCCGAAGGGATTGAGCAGTCTGTCCAGATAGTTCTGTCACAGTGGTGTTATTCCTATTATATATATTGTGCTATGATAGATTCATGTGTCATGAGCCATGAAATTGGGGGAGAAGGTTAGGCTACGCAGGGGAGAGTCAGCCCATGGAGGGGAGGGTCAGCTCATGCAGGGGAGAAGAGTTTTAGCCCACACAGGGGAGAAGGGTTTTAGGCCATGCAGGAGAGGAGGATATGGTGGGGAGGGTGTTAGGCCATGCAGGGGAACTGTTCAGATTTGTATGCACATCCTTGGGTGTGCCCTGGAATTATCCATTATGGTAAGTTATAGTTGTCTGAGTCTCAGTATATTCCACTTGCTTCATACTGCTTATCTCCATTTGAGCTCTTAAAATTTCCCATCATGTAGACAGAAGAGCTGTATGAGCCTATGAGGTGACACATCAGGGAGATCTGGTATTTCCTCCTTTTTGTAATAATATCTCACACTACATGTTTTTCCAATATTGCAGATTTGATTCTCATTATAGTCTATTCAGCTCTATGTATCCTGACTCGCCCACATACAGTTGAATCCTATTATTCAATGTGAGGAGCTGATCATTGCGAAGGTGTGATTCCTATGGCGTAAGGAAAGCACCAGTGAGTGGGTTGAGGCGGGAGGCAACGCCACCGGGAACGCCCGAGCCATGCACGTGGCGGCAGCAGCGCCACCGAGCCTGTAACCCTACGCTAGGGTTGACAAGCCATTGAGTGGCGTGGGAGATCCCTTACGCATTTCGAGACCGCTATACCGAAAGGGGGAGCAAGCTCCCCCAATCATTAGTATCGACCCCTCGTAGAAACTGTTAATGGGTATGACCGTTGATACAGACTATGGAATCCAAATGGAACTCATGTGGATGGAAGCATACATGCCTCCCTAGGTAGCTACAAATAAAGGTACAGTACAGCCGACTGCATGGGCTATAAATTGCTGCTTTCCCTCAAGTGAATGAGCGGTAGCTTGTTGTCCTGGACGGGAATAAAAGGCGATGTAGCGATCAGCTTCAGCGGTGGATAGTGCCTTGATCTGATCGACATGAGTCAAGGCAGTTAGACCCTGGTAGTCATGATCACTACAAGATCCCATGTCGATTACTACAATGACAGGCTTACCTGCGAGACTGGGTATTCGCCGCGAGCATTGGGGACCGCAATGTACGTCCCTTCACCGCGCTTAGTATTTTCAGCCTACGTACGTCCTCAATCTTCAGGTAAGAAACAAGAATGCTGCTCACTCACGATTTTTACGCTGATCTCTGTCGCAATCAAGCGGTCCTCTATCTCACCCACCCGGCCCTCCATACCACCCAATCGGTCCTCTAACCTACCCAACCTATCCGCCACCTCCCGCATGGCAGTGTGAAGTTCTTCCCGCATGGCAGTTTGAAAGTCCCGCATGGCAGTGTGGAACCAGGGAGGAGGAGCAGCTACTCGATAGTCAAAACATGCCACTCAGGGAAGAAATGCATAGAGAGACACCTTCTGCTGCATTCGCTGGTGTAACACTGTTGGACTTGTGCGCGTCAGCCACGGCGTCGACGGACGGTGCGGCTGTCCCGCCCATCGCTGGTCAGAACCTGGTCAGAGGGCCCGGTCATGCTGAAGACGTCGTACTTACCTGAGGCCAACTCGGCGCGGTGTGCGTGAAGGCCTGCGTTCGCCGCGTCCTGGCTGCCGGAGACGTCTTGGCGCTGGGTAGGGATGTCGTAGCCTGTTTGGATGACGGGGGGCTGGATGGCCATCTTGGTAATTAGGACGGTGCAGTCGCGAGACGCGGTGCGTCCTATCACGTGCGCGTATAGGGGTCTTTGCATGCGCGGTCTCTGCTAACACTGTTCCATACACTGCCATTACAACTACTATCAGCCTTTTCTCCCCTCTACTGGAGAATAACCTCCCTGGAGCGCCGTTTGTCGCAGAATATCTCAGTTGCGAAGCGTATACGTCCAAGCGACCGTCTTTTCCCGCCAATACAAGCTTCAAGGGCAGTTCGTCGATGGCTATCACCTCCTGACGAGGCATACGGAACAACCAGGAATACAAGCCGCTCCTCTCGCAACTATGCGCATCCGAAGATTAGCCTTTGAATTCGCTCTCGTTCGTGGAACTATGGACCTTCTATCTGCAACAGCGTCTATCACCTGCTCCTAATAGTTGTGGCCTATGGTTAGGACGGACCATGGTGAGACAGGACTATCCGTCCGTCGATCGACTCGATTGGGTTGTCCGACACTAGACCGTCCGTATATATTGCTGGAGCGATCACGTACCTAATCGACCCGTGCTGGGGGAACGTCGTCTGCCTCGTTCTGGAAGTTTTGCACTGGCCTGGACTCGGACCTCGGAAGTCCATTCTCAGCGCGATTGCCTCCTTCATATCTGAGGGTATAAATCGGAAAGTGACATCACTCCGTCGAGCCTAATGGTGGACGGCTGCAGTACGTAACTTGTACATGTCATCATATTGGCTGAGCCTGCGGGCCTCGTACTCTCTGTCCACCGCAGCTCCGGCGTTGGACTTACGAGCTATGCAGCCTCGCAGGGGTGTGCACGGGCGCTTGAGCCTGATCGGCCCTGGACAAAACGTGCATCTTTGAGTGCGTTGCAAGCTTGATCAATATAGCACGGAACTTGCCGAAGGATGCAAAAGTGTTCCGCTGTCCCGGATAGAAATCTGGGGGAGAGTGCATCTCGATCAAAGGCCGTGTACTGCACGCGATTAGATCCTGGGGCAGGGCCACTAGCTTTTCGACCGGTTTGCTCCACTTTGGACGCTGTCAGGTCTTGATATGTACAGCCATCATAGTCACGGTAAGTCGATCACAATGAAGCTCGGAGAATGTCTGACTTCTGGAGTGCGGAATAGCTGCGTTTGCTGCCTCATGCTTGACACGCCGTAACTGGACGTCAATCACGTTTATTACGCCTTTCCATCCGCTTCCTCCCCCCTCCCGTCTCTTATTAACCCAAAGTGTCTGTCGCTTCGACCAGGCTTAACCTCCTCTCAGGAGCACCATCTCCCCGTCGTCGTACGCCGTCCGCCATGCCTTCGAGGGCCAGCTCTTCCCCCGCTCCCCCGGAACTCGGCACGTTCATCGACGATGGCGCCCTCCAGCTCGTCGAAGTCCTGGGCTACGGCGGCTACGGCGTCGTCTACCGCGCCGTCGACCCCCGGTCCTGCGATCAGACCTCCTATGCCGTCAAGTGTCTCATCCATGCCAATATGCACGAAACGTCCCGCCAGCGACAAGTCCACCTCCGCGAGATCGCCCTCCACCAGCGCGCCTCCGCGCACCCCAACGTTGTCACCCTGCACCGCGTCATCGAGGAGCACGACTACACGTGGATCGTCATGGACTATTGCAGCGACGGCGACCTCTTCTCGCAAATTCTCAACAACCGTCGCTATCTCGGGCGAGAGCGGCTCATCAAGCGGGTCTTCCTTCAGCTGCTCGACGCGGTTGAATATTGCCATTCTATCGGTATTTATCACCGTGATCTGAAGCCAGAGAACGTTCTATGCTTTGATGAAGGCCTGCGGCTGGCCATCACTGATTTTGGTCTCGCCACAACCGATGCGCTCAGCGATGAGTTCCGCACAGGCAGCATCTACCACATGAGTCCCGGTACGTCTTTTATTTCGGCGTCATTTCGGAGCGCCACTGATCTGCCCTTTCTTAGAATGCAAAGGCGGCGCCTTTGCGCCCGAGGGGACATATGCTCCTATGTTCAATGATATATGGTCTCTTGGTATCATCCTTCTTAATATTATTACCGGCCGCAATCCCTGGCGGTCCGCATCGGACTCGGATCCGACGTTCCGCGCGTACTTGCAGAACCCCGCCGGCTTTCTGCCCACCGTCCTCCCGATCTCGGAAGAGGTCAACGCAGTCCTCGTTCGGACGCTGGAGGTGAACTGGCACAAGCGCATCACACTCCCTGAGCTGCGGCGCGCGATCAAGGGCGTGCGCTCCTTCTACTCCGAGGACGTCATCTTCCAGGGCAGCATGGCGCGCTGCCCGTGGGAGGCGGACATCGACATCGAGAACGACTCGCCCGAGGAGGACGTGCCGCCCGCGAAGTACGTGTCGCACTGGAGCAGGGACACCGACTCGGAGATGGTGTTCGCGACCGCGGCGTCGCAGGTCGAGTCGCCGTGGATGACGTGCTCGCCCGCGGCCGCGACGTGGGGCGAGAACTCGTTCACGCGCTCGTCGTCGCCCTCGCCCGCGTCCTCGCGGAAGTACCGGTCCGCGCCGCACACGCCCCCGTCGACGCACTCCATGTCGTCGCCCGTGGGGTCGATACCTTCGTTGCCCGCCACGCCGCGCTACCACGACGCGGAGCTCGACACTTCGTACGATATGGTGCCCGTGCCCGCGAAGCCGGTGCTCGCTATCAACACTGCCTTCGGGCGGACAGATTACGAGGTTGAGTCGAATGCGATGGTCTCGCCTGGCTCATCGGCGATGCAGACTGCTATCGACAGCGCGATCGAGAGTATGGCAGACGCGTGGGACTCGAGGTACTTCTACACGAGCGCCACCTCGCCGTCGAAGGAGTCGGCGATGATGTCGTCAGCTGTGGACGTCGGAATGATGGACATGGCTATGGACGATGAAGACGTGCTCGACACATCGTGGACGTACTCTACGACGGACGCGACCGAGTCGGTGGCGTACATGTCGTCGCAGTCGACGTCTTTCGGGCAGCGGAGTTCAGTCACAGGTCTCGAGCTGAATTTCCAGACCGAGTACTCGTCGGACGAAATCGAGGAAGAGGAGGTCATAGAGGACACAAAGCCGCCGCTCTACATCCCCTACCCGCGGTCGGAGCGCAGCATGTCGGTATTCCAATTCGATTCACCGCTGCAGCCGCCCCCTCTGACGTCTCCCTCCCCGCCGTCGTCGAAGGAGTCTCGCGGCGGCGAAAAGTCCAATAAGGGGTCCAGTATATTTAGTCCCATCAAGTCCGCTTTCCTCCGCTCCTTTTCTCCTACTTCCTTCGCCGCGTTCCACTCCCCGCGGACAGAGAAGCAACGCTCCCTCACGCCCGGCTCCATGTTCAACCCCTCCACCCCCTCGACGGCCGTCTTCCACGGGTCGTCCTCAGCATGCACTAACACGCATTCTTCCCAATTTCTGTCATCGGCATCACCCCTATCTTCACCCATGGTCGTGTCTCCCGTCTCACCGCCGGTGACTACGGCCGTGTCATCCAGCGTCGTCCGGCGGAAGGAGGCTGCTGCCTCGCGCCTCCACAAACGACGGCGATGGTTCTCGCTATCACGCGGCAAGCTCTTAGCGGCGGCCTGCGTACCATCTTAACGCATTGCATTGACTCTTCACGCATAACCTTATTGATCCATGGCATGGTACGAACTTAGATCTTATATTGGGCAGTCTGGCTGCTGTTCGGCTATTGTATCTCTACTCTGCACGTCTATACGCGTACACAGGTGTACTGTTAGTCATGAGGGTTGACGCATTTGTACCATATCACGCACGCAATGAATGTATGACCTGCATTACACCTCGTATGCTTGGAACGAGTGAGAAAACTGGGGAAACTTTCCCTTCTGTGACTTGCAGACTTGACAGCCTCCGGACATGCGTTTTGCTCGAGGACCGGCAGTGGCGCTTCACGAAAGGGACTTTCTGATGCAGAAAGGGGAAACCAGGAGACTCCGTCATTAACAGTCTAGGCACAGGTTCCGAGAGCAGAAACATCAAAGCAGCGACGAACATTACCACGTCCGAAGATCGACTAATTTTCTACCGCGTTCCCGCTCGACGTCACCCCTTCCTCTCACACCAGAGCCTGCATCCAGCCTCCTCGCGCGTCCCCCAAATCCGTCACCCATACTAAGCGGCGCATTCCCTGCCTGCAGCATCCGGAACAGCGTCTTGATGACGTTCAGTCGATTCCGGCTCCCCCACACCTTCGCACTGCAATCCTTGATCCCAGCCGCCTTGAGTATTTGGTGGATATTGGGATTCGTTGCGAGCCCGAACCCGACGGGCCGCGGCCTGAGGATGATCTGCGTCGAGCCGAGCTTGGCGTGCATCTCGGTGAAGATGGTGCGCTTCTCAAAACGCTCGACCCAGTCCATGTTGCGCAGGGCCTGCGCGTACGCCTTCTCCTTCGCGCGCCCGATCTCGTCGTCCTTGCCCTCCCCGTAGCCGACGAGCCCGTCGCCGTTGCCCACGACGGTGAGCACGTACATGCGGTGAATCTTGCCCTTGCCTGTCTGCTGCGTGATGCGCCGGACGAGCAGGTCGTACTTGTGTAGCGCGGCCTGGTCGTCGCGGGTGAGGGGGACGATCTTCAGCGGGTCTACGTCGTCCTCGCCCTGGGCACCTTGAAAGTCGATTTCTTCCTCGTCGTCCTCGGATGCCACCTGGCCTCTTTGCTGCGCTTCGACTTCCTTGGTCATTTGTTCGACGAACATGGAGGGGTCATTCCGGCTGATGATTCGTGAACGATGCCGAGAGTTTTTGAGCGGCTCAAGTTCTTCGGTGTCGAAGGAGTCATAGTAGGGATGAGATGTCAAGAGATTGGGATACTCTTCTGCCTGTTCCCGCCGGCGGTCCTCCATTGCCCGCTGCTCTTGCGCGGTAGGCTTAGCACCCGGGTTCTGCGTAGAGTACTGGCGAAAACATTTGGAGTTTGGGAGCGTCGAGCTGGATGCAACGCAAGTCGACTGGCTCCGGCGTATGCTTGCCTGGCAGATTCTGGCAAGCTTTTGCATCAGCGTGAGCGGGCAAGGGTGGTACGCTGTGGACTTCAATGAAACGGGGACAACGAAGCTTTCTGTGACTGTGGGAAAGTATGTATTAGGTAACTACTATTTCCTTTTGTAGTGTGGCTTGCGAGGCGCCTTTGTACTACTACCCGCTCGTATGGCCTCCAACGACAATTCTGAAAACTCTGCGAGATCCCAGCTTGTTGGTTCTGATATTGACAGCTTATATGGCGTCATTGACAAAGACAAGTAAGCTTGGCGTTCCGTAGGTGTTTTTGTCCTGGCGGATCTGTAACGAGTGAAGCTATTGAAGGGTGTACGGCTTGAATCTCACTGTCCCCGAAGATGCGAAGGCGGTCGTGAAACCCTGGGAGGAGCGCGAAGATACAACCTTATTCGCTGAGTCGAACGTGGACGATCAAGTGCGCTCATTCCATACGTCCTGTCGAAGAGTAAAGGTGTGACCTACGCGCATCAGCTGATCCTCCATATACCCTTCACGCAGAACGTGAGGGTGAAGTCTATATTGGTGAAACTAGGTACGTAGCTCTAGACTCATACTGAGAACCGCAATTGACACATTCAGGGCGAGGCGAGGTTACGCCACGCCAATTACGAATATACGCCAATCACCCTACCATAGTCGATTTCGCCGAAGCCGAAGTGATTACCCCTCAACTCAACCTTGCTCTGCTAGAAGAGTCAGGCGTCACAGAGTATCCCTTACGTGTGGCCGCATTTGCAAACGTCAACACGCTCTCTCTCTTCTTCGTAAGTACGCTGCGTCATGCGTGCATCCGTGCGTAACGCTAACGGACCTTGTGAACAGAACGAGTCGACCGGGGGCGAGATGACGAGGATTTACTACGTGGGCTTCAAGGGCGACGCTCGAACGCCACGGAAGGAGGCGAACTCGAAGATGGTGGTTCCAGCAGCGAATGCGGCGGACGCTCGGATTACGGATCGGGTCCTGGAGAAGGCTGGCGCCCAGCAGACCACGGCTCGGTAGATGCAGTTGTACTAAGAGAGTGTACTAATGCTTGTATTTCTAATACCACCCCAAGGCTGTTACAGTCCTTCTGTGTTGCCGGGGATGATACTTAATTTGCTGGTATTACGTGTACCTCCGCCTTCCCCTCTGCCCAGCCAAGTTTTTTCTCTGAAGAATCTCGACGTGGTGATACGTGTCTTTCGCTGCTCTCGCAGCGCTCACCATAGAGGAACTTTGTTGCAAGGCCGGCATTGTCCTGATGCTGTCGGATAATCTTCGGGTAATTACCCCGCCTCGATAAACGCCCATATTCGAGTCAGTTAGTTGTACTAGTGCTAACGTGTAGTAGCCAAGACATCGCTGATGAGGGCTAATCCTGGCCGTCTATAACCTGTATTTATACCCTGAAAGCCTCCTTTAACTCTGAGCTTGATCCTGAGCCCTTTGTGAGCCCTACAGCCCGATTACAATATCATGGCAGAGCCACCTATCGACCTCAAGACACTCCGCACCCCCAGCGATACACTCAAACCACAAGCACACGCGAATGACTCGAAGGTAGACATCAAAGATGACAGTACGCTTCGAGATCGCGGCGTTCACGAGCAAGGCCAGGACCAAGTCAGCGGCGAGGCTGCGACTGTCGTCCCACATAAAGCGAAGTTGAAGGCGAACATCCAGTTTGCGGCGCTGTGCTATTCTCTTTTTCTAGCTGGGTGGAATGATGGGACCACGGGCCCCTTATTACCTCGGATACAAGAGGTCTATCATGTACGTGGACGCGCTTATTAGGAAAGTGCTCGGGTGATGAAATAGCATGCAGGTGGGCTATGCAGTCGTTTCGCTGATCTTCGTCTCGAATTGCATTGTAAGTGCTCTTCAGGTAGTAGGGCTACTCTGTGCTGACACCAGCACTCGTGAATCGAGGGTTTCGTGGCAGGTGCTTGCGCGAACGTAGCTTTGACACATAGACTGGGGTTTGGGAAGGTGCGTGTGATGTCTACAGCTAGCCTTCAACGAGCATTTTCCCGTGAAGGACAGCCGAGATATATATAAGGTCCTCTTGAAGAAATTCGGAGCGGCTTCAACGCTGTCCTGCCTTTCTTCTTTCCGAAATCGACCTAGCCATACACGTTCTAACCGACGGGTTCCGCAGGCCATAGTTCTGGGTCTGTAATCCTCCGCGCTGTGTATATTTCGACCAGTTCATTGGCTGCGTGAACTTCCACCAGGCACCGTCCTACAGACTTGCGCATATATAATCCAAGCCCCCTCCCCGCCCTTTCCCGTCTTTGTGATAGCATATGCCATCAATGGCTTCGGCATCGCTCTTCAGGTATGCCCCCTTGAGCCTCGCCCTCCATACAGGCTCGCACTAATCCGAACGACAACTTGTTTCACAGGACGCCCAAGCGAACGGCTTTGTCGCGAGCCTGAAGGACAACCCGACGACGAAAATGGGCATAATGCACGCTGTATACGGTGACACGCGGAATGTTTGCGAGCTGAACGCGTGACTGGCTAACTGGCTTCCTCAAGGAACGGGTGCTCTCTGCGCACCGCTGGTAGCCACGCAGTTCGCCCAGCTCCGCCACTGGTCGTACCATTTTCTGTGCTCGCTGGGCGTCGCAGCCTCTTGCGGTGTCGTTCTGTCCGCCGTTTTTCGCTTCAAGACACAAGACGGTGCGTCTCATTTGTTCGCCTTCATTCTCTTCAATCATTTCACGTTTGCGCACCACGTAAGAATGCTACGCGGAGATAGGCCAGGCCGCGAACGAGTCCGGCGAGAGTGCGGAGAGCGACTACAAGCAGATCTTTACGTTGAAGGCTGTCCACCTCCTCGCGATATTCAGCCTCATATATGTCGGCGTCGAAGTCACTATCGGAGGTTGTTGCCTATTTCCGCTGTGCTTCCAATCATGCACTGAATAAGGGTGCAAAGGATGGACCGTCACGTACGTTATCGACACAAGGCATGGAGGTTCTTCGTCTGGATATATATCCTCTGGTTTCTTCGGCGGACTGACCCTTGGGCGGGTCGCTCTTCTATGGGTTAATCATAAGGTTGGGATAATTTGACCAGTCTGGCCCCAGGCCACACACGCAAAGCTCATGCGCGTTACAGGTCGGTGAGAGGACGGTACTTTTCATATACGCCGCTCTTGCCCTGGGGTAAGTTCCCCTTGTCTCAACCTCATACCACCCTCATTGATTTCTGCTGTTCGCAGGCTGGAGCTCGTTATCTGGCTCGTCCCCTCTCTCATCGGCGGCGCTGTGACAGTATCTATAGTCGGTGTGCTGCTGGGACCGATGTACCCAATCATCATGAACCACTCCGGGCGTATCCTGCCGCGTTGGCTTTTGACAGGTGCCATTGGATGGATTGCAGGGCTAGGACAGGCGGGTTCAGCGCTGATTCCATTCATCACGGGTGCCTTCGCATCCCGGTTTGGTATCACCAGCTTACAGCCTGTGTGAGTGCGGTTCAAGCTTTTCAAGTCCATGCAATGCTGAAATAGATACTACAGGTTGGTTGCGATGATGGGATGTATGATCGCGATATGGGCCATTGTACCCAACAGTCCGCGACGTCCGGATTAGACACCAACGATAAAACGAAATAATGTTACGTGTTATAATGAACCACAACAATTCAGACGTTCGCACAAACAGTTGATGATGTACCAGACAAACGTTATATACTGAGGTTACACCAAGCGGACGTCACAGGAACCTCCAGCGCATCACCGCTTTCTTCTCGTCCTGCTACCGTTTGTTGCGGCTTGCATATTTGCACGTCCTTTTTGCCGTTGTACATCCGGAGATGTAATCGAACCCACTGATGATGCAGCCGACAGCCTGGTCGAGCGTCTCGGCCGGAATGATGACTCATCCTCATCGCTGCTCGCCCTCGAAGACCGTCCCTTTCGTGAGGGCTTCCTGGGCGACGCAGGCAGCGGCGGGACATCGTCTTCGAGCTCCTCCAGGGTGTACGAACCAGGTATACTGCGGCTGAGGTCCGCCTCTTCTTTCTGTCGCTTGGTAGGAGTGGGATTGTGGTCGGTATTCCGACCGCGAGTACGTTTGCTGGGGGGAGGCGTCGGGGAGACAGGAGGAGAAGGACTGGGACTGCGTGCTCCATTGAACATAGCCGCTGCACTGGCGTGGCTTTGCTCTGAACCATGGCTGGAGCGGAAGAATAGCTGTTCTGGGCTAGGCTCCGGTTCGGGGGACGGCGTGTCAATAGTCTCATCGGGATCGAATGCTCCAGGCAAAGCCCTTCTTTGGGACTCAGAGAGAGATTTGTCGGCGCGCTTCGGGGACCCCCGAGAACTGGCGAGCGACGCTGAGAGCGAATCCGACGTGCTCGGACGAGATGGTGCGAAGATGGACGCCGAGAACTCATTTGCCGGGGGTTCTTCCTGTTGAACAGGTGCCGACTGCTCATTCGCAATGTCGGATGCTGAGACCATCGCAACGTCTTTGTCATTTTGGGAAGGTTCTGTGGCGGGTAGAGGTAGCTGACCGTTGGTCTGCTCTTCTGCTGTATTTTCAGCAGGGAGATCCTTCGGCAGCGCCAGGGAGGGTGGTGTAGGAGGACGGTCCAGATTCCTGGGGGTGTACCTGCGCTCGGGCGACCTCTTCAATGGTCGTCTCTTCGACGGATCGTAGAATGCGTTAGGTGCTTTATTAGCGCTCCCCGTCTTATTGAATAATGAATTCCCTGGGAGCACCATTGGCGAGTTGGGCTTCCCAAGTCCAAAAAGACCATTCCCATATTTCATGCCAGACGGACCGGCTTCAGCCACGGCCGTAGGTCTCGACAAGGGGATCGGTGGGGGCGCGGGGGGCAGTTTCAGGTTGTCCCAGATAGTGCGGCGTTCTGCCGGCTTTGTCGGGACGAACAGGTTATCATTACGGCCCAAATTTTCCGGGGTAATAGTTGTAGTGGACTTCCGGGACTTCCGGCGACTAGTCGCATCGCCGTTCGCAGACTTACCCTTGCCCAGGGACAGTGCCTCGAGCTCTTCTTCCAGTATTTGTCGCTCAATCTCTGGCATTAGGGACAGCAGTTCGTCGAGCATTTTTCTGCGCTCGCGCGCCATTTTCTGAGCGACGCTGTCGCCTTCCACGTGGTGTCCCAGAACCCCCGCTGAGAATTGGCGATCCAGCTTGATGGCGGTGGCGTAGTTCCCCGCACGGACAAGTCGTACGCATATGAGGTCCTGGATGATGGGTATTGACTTTGCAGGCACACTATCCGGTGGGCGGAGGCAGAAGTCTTGGAGGATAGCTTCTTCGAAGCTATTTAACGGGAATGATAACAGCTGCGTCAGAGGGACGGGGCGGGGCTCGGCTGAAATACAGAGCCAGGTTTACTTCGAGCAGATGAAGGACGTGGTGCAGACCACTCACGGGTGAGCATCCACTGTAGGATTTTCCGAATCATCGTGTCCCGCATCTCGCTCTGCGACAAGAAACTTCTCTGGTACTGCCATGCCTCCAAAAGACTCGAATCCGCGAGAGCAATCACATAAATGTTGATGTCCTTTGGCGCCATGAGGTGTGGTCGTACTGTGCGGACATATTGCCGGATGTATGAGTTGGCCTTGGATTCAAGACTAAGGGCTTCCATGATCTTGGACACGTCGTTCCTTTGTACACGGGCATCCGAAAGGTAGCTGATTGCCCTCTACCGTCGGCGACAGTTCAGTACGAGCGAGGTTGCGAAAGGGTAACACGTACTGGAATGTCCGTAGTATTGTCCAAGCACCAGTACGCCGACGCAACACCCAGAAACGGTGGCGGGACCACTCTCTCGTACGCGAACTCATCTGCTCGCGTGTCCTGGTAGAACAGCAACAGATAGTAGAGTAGACAATCCCGCTTGAGCCTGTCCCACGAGCAGTTACGTATGGCGTTCACGAGCCGCCGCAGACCCTCTGTGTCGGCTGGCGGATAAAGCGAGGCGGGGTCGGATATTCTACCCAAGCGAAGCAGAGAGTCGAATAACAGACAGTCGGATAGTTTCGCGCGCCGCGTCTCGATTTGTTCGCGTACGGCGACGGTCCACGGGAAGAGTGTCGAGCTGCGAGTGAAATACTTTTGCCAAGGGTCGTCTTCTGGGTTCCGGGGATCCTCAATCATCTCCGCATCCTCGTCCTCTTCTGCGTCAACGTCAATGCTCCGCTCTCGCGCAGGGTGGTCCTCCACCACCTGCTCCTCCTCCTCGTCCTCTTCCAACAAATTCAGTGCAATATCCTCTTCCTGTGGGTCTGCCATTCGTCACGCGTTGGAGTTGAGAAAAAAGCAGCACTCACCGTTGTGTCCATTGTTAAATCCTCTGGCTCGAGACGCGTCGAGGTGGCCATGCGTGACGTTGAACAAGAACGTGTTTCGGCAAGACGCGAGACGTTGTTGCTGGTTATTAGCGCTCACGTACGCGCTGTCTCTCGGCTGAATCAACTGTGGATCCTGTCCTTCGTCGCCGGAGAAAGCCAGGCAGCCACAGAACGACCGATGCCACAGTGAAAGAGGTAGGAAGTTGGTTCGGTGGGTCACGGTGGCGCTGAAAGATGGCCACACGTCGCGCGACGGATGTCAAAACGTGTGGCGGACTCGCGGTTCCTCCAGTTCCACCTTCGCCATGACAAGTCTTGCGTGGAAATCGACTCGAAACCTGGTCCGCATTTACTGCGAGGAGCTCTGCTTTTAACCTGTCTTGAAATATACGCAATATTCGTTGTGTAGGCGGCCCCACAGCGCGATAGCTGTAGGGTCGCGCTCTGCAAATATCTGGATAACCTTCGTCTCCAGACAAATCACAAGCCAACCAGGAGCTGTTGACAAGCTTTTTTAACGCGCCGAAACGGATGGACGGGATGCTCTTTTGCGATACAACTCCGAGATCGGTCATCCTACTCCCTGACTGCGGTCCATGGCATAGGAGCATCTAAGTCTACGTTTCCCCCGCTCCAGACAACCCCCACATTTCCACTAATCCCTAAGCTCCTCCATTTCTCGGAGAACAGCACAACTGCGACACCCACAGCAGCACTAGGTTCGATCACCATCTTCATTCTTTCCCAAACCAGTTTTTGCGCCGTCACTATCTCTCGCTCGCTGACCGTTATGACTCCTTCTACGTTCTTCTTTATTATTTTGAAGTTCCTGATCCCGACCGGTGTCCGCAGCCCATCTGCGACAGTCGACGTGACCACTCGCTCGACTCGCGTTCCGGACTGGAATCCTCTGTAGCAGTCATCTGCCAGTTCTGGCTCGGCTGCGTAGATCGGGATATTATGCGCCTTGGCCACGATACTGCACCCAGCCAGCAGTCCGCCTCCGCCGACTTGCACGACCAATGCTCCCAGCGGCTTCCCCATCTCCCGTGCTTGTCGTATCATCTCCAGGGCTACTGTGCCTTGGCCAGTGATAATATCGTAGTGGTCGTACGGAGGTATGAAAAATGCTCCTGTCCTCTGTCTCACTTCCTCGCAGACGCGCTCGCGATCCTCCGCCAGAGGAGGGGAGAGAATCACTTCTGCGCCATAGCCCTTGGTAGCGTTCTTCTTAATCACAGCACTCGTCTCTGGCATAACGATGTAAGCCTTGACATTGTTGGCCTTGGCCGCGATAGCGAGTGCCTGAGCATGGTTGCCCGAGCTATGTGTTATGACGCCTTTCTCCAGCTCGGCCGGGGATAGCTTCGAAACTGCATAGGTCGCACCTCGGATTTTGAAGGCGCCTCCTTTCTGTAAGTTCTCTGCTTTGAACAGGATGTCTGTATCAGCCGGGGCGAGGGCTGAGAGTGATACGGAAGTCAGAAGCGGCGTCAAGTGAATAGGAGAAGCTGCGAGGACCCTCGCCGCCTCTTCGACGGATGTCAGTGTTGGTATCGTGCTGTCCATGCCCGTGTGAAGGAATGACGATCGTAAAGTGATAAGATATAGGTGCAGCGGCCAAGTCGGGCCGGATTAGCCGAGTAGGATCTGCCAGGACGGTAAATATGCCAGTTAGTTCATTAACGTGCGGCGTTGACCATCCTCGTATTCAACGCGTCAGCTTGTGTGGGGGCAGCCTCTGTTAGCCCTCTCTCTATACCAACGCAGATGCCCGTGCTCGTCAATCAGTCGGGGCAAGTAGTATGATTCGAAAGGCGCTTCATCTAGCAGGTGAGAGCACTCCAGAACGCGATTTGGTCATTGTGAGAGAGCGTTGACAGTATGTCATAGTACAACGCACTCATTAGATATTAGCAAGTACATATGTGGCTCGAATCATAAACAGATGCTCGTTCAACAGACCTTCACCCATAAAATCAAGACCGATGCGAAGTCGTACGCCGTATTTTTGTGCCTTCAGACTAAACGGATGAATTTCCAGTAGCGCGTGTTTGGAGGCTGGTGTATCTGTCAGATGCACTCCACAAGCAGATAGATAGCACTTACCGCATTGCTGGGTGCGCTCTTGTCTGGAATGATCAAGAAACAACAGTTGAGTGAGTCGTAAGCCATCAATATTGTCAATACGCAAGACCACTCACGCTCCACAAGGCATTCGTAGCATGCTACCTTGTTGTGCGCTACCGACCACAGGCTGCACGTGGAACCCTGCATCCAGTGGATGTCATTATCCCATATGATGGTCATCTCTTCAACGCCGTTAGCCTGACGGGGTCCGGGGTGAACAGTCTTGGTCATGGTGGTATGTTGGATTGAATGTGGTATCGTATGGATCCGAGCTCCTTATATGCTGACGAGGACAAAGGAGGGCACTTTTGAGGCGAGGCATACGTAAAAAAGGCCACAAAATCGGAGAAGTAGGTGTGGTTATGCCTTCTGTGGATTTGATGGTTGATGGCGGGAGGAATCTACATCCTTCAGGGTCGCTCTCGGGAGAACCAATACAGGGCTGTATATAGCCAAAGATGTGATCCGAGGCCGCGTTGATATCTCCAGGCCGCAAGCATTATTTTTGAATTGGCCAGGATAACCCCAAGCGGTCCCTCTGGATTTACTCATCGAATCTCGCTGATGAGTTGAGGTGAGAAGTCAGATACTATCGAGAACACACTTCTCTAACACACGCAGCGCGTTTCGCCTGCCAACCGACAGCATGGTATCGAAGGGTCAGTTGTGGCAATGGCCACAAAGAAGACACCTGTGGTTACATAAGCGCTTTGTCTCGTGTTGATACGGGGTAGGACCCCGCATGCACTTGGGCGTGACCGAACCACCGGTTATTAGTGCTTCCGTGTGGCTCCCGAGCACTATCGGTATATAAGGTCCTTCGGAATATCATGAAGTCCCACAAGTCGGTCTTCACTGAGCCACCCTCAGCTATACTTATCATCATGGCTGAAGAGTCGTACGAGTTCATTGACAATGGAGTCAAGATGTACTTGGTCCTCGATAAGATTAGCGAGCGCTTTTCAGATCCCTGCGTCGCAGTCGAGAGACATAAGCAAGGTGCGTCTGATTTCTGGTCCAATTGACGAGCAATTGGTGAAGAGAAGTGATCCCTTTGGCAGGGAGCCATCATATGGTAAGTCGGTCTAGCAACCTGATGTCCTTCGCCGACTTCCTCATCTTCTTATCCCAGACGTATATTGTCACTTTAGAAAGTGGAATCAAGCGACTCGTTAGAGTCAGTTATCCGTTTCTCCGAGATTACGGTTCTGGTATTGTGCCGCCGTCGAAAATGAAATCTGAGGTGAGGGAAGCGTATCTGTTACTCAAGCAATCCGTGAACGCATGACGTAGGTCGCAACCATGAAGTATGTCCGAGAGCACACCCGTATCCCAGTTCCAGAAGTCCTGCATTACGACGGAGATGAAGATGGAAGCGTAGGCGCTGAGTGGATGGTCTTGGAATTCGTGAGTGACGGCTCGTACCCCTTGAAGGACAGTGTCTAAAATAATCTCAGATCAACGGTTTATCCCTTTACCACCTATGGCCCGACATGTCTTGCGACTCGCGTCGCGCAGTCGCCCATTCTCTCGCGAACGTTTTCCATCAACTCCTCGCTCTCAGATTCAACAACATTGGCAGTCTTCAAGAAAACGAGGGGGGAGAGATTTCCGTCGGTCCAATGACCTTCATGCCCTCCAACAACACTCATCATACTGCTCCCCCCGATTCCACCAAGTGTGGCCCCTTCGTGTCTATTAAGCAGTGGATCCTAGCTCTTGCCACTGGCGACCTGGATTTCGAGACTTCCGACACTGACACGTCAGAGGGCTCTGAACGCAGGGCTGCTGTCGTACAAGACATCCAGGCTACCACCGTATTCGACGATGAGTCTCTGCAGGACTTCTGTGCTATTGCCTTGGAGCACGTCGACCTCAAGCTTAACAATATCCTGGTGGACCCCAACGATCACACCGCCATCGTCGGCGTCATTGACTGGGAAGGTGCAAGGACTGTGCCCCTCTTCGCTATCCAACCTCGGTGGTACCTCGGTATCCAACACGCTACTTCGGACGAGAAAAACGAGATGCAAGTCTATACTCGTGCGGCTGTGCGATCCCTCGACCCGGTCTGGTTTGCCGCTACGGATGACCAGGGGCGTAGCCTGAGAGAGGTGTTACACCGTGCTATGTACAGTCGGTGGGACCCCGTTGTGTTCAGCTTCGAAGGTACGGATGTGTACCAGCGCGGTATACCGCCAGCTGGTACGGATCCATGAATTCTGGTAGTGTAGCTATATTCACACATGGCATATCTGTCTTATCTGTTGCTGTCCGACTGTGGCCGATTTGGAATCAAGTATGCATATTCTCATGTGGCTGATTTGAGGTGCAAAGGTACGGTAGGGAAAGGCGTGAATGCCATTAGCATGCGGAATAATATCCGACAGATTGACTACATCCAATCGCTCCGGAGGGTCCGAACCAAGCTCGACGCCACGGGAGATGCTATAAGAGCTCAGACACCCTCCAATAAACGGGGCTGGGCGGCTGGAAAGGCATGTCAGAAAATCGGTGTGGGACATAGCAAGACAGCATACCCTTTTCTCGGTAGTGCTCGTATCTGCAAGTCCTTATGAGAACCTACGTGTAGAACGATATAGGGCAGAAAGACGCACGAGCTTTAATGCACTCGTATATCACCACTGTCTTCAAGGTCACGGAGACGATGGAACAAGTGGACCTGGTATCATATTTCCTTCCCATGCGCCAAGGATCCGGGATATCTTCCTCGCTGCTAGTATCTATGACCTCTGAGTCCGAAAGAGGTTCGCGCTGAAGGGCTTGATGCCTTGAAGACGACATGATGCAGGCGTAGGATAGAGTGAGGATAGAGTGAGAGGCGCCGGAAGAGGGACAGTTGATTGAGGCTTTGATCGTGAAGGGCTACAAACCCGCCTCTATTTAACTTGCCTGCTATGTCGCATCAACAATCGAACCGGCTGTAAGTTCAGATATCGGATCGAAGAATCAATTGCCCTTCGCCAAAAGTGAAGTCGGTCAAATCTGTGAATAAGAGGCTTTCCAATCCCAGCATTCGACCAACGCCGGGTTCGGGCTCGGGCTGCTCGTATCTCAGGGCTGGAAGTGTGGCTCAGAAGGGTCTTCGGACCGGTGCTTCGAATCAATCAGGAGCATCGGCCCATATCGGGTGCAAAGTTGACGAGGACCCCAGAGGGAGATCAAACATACTGAATGTGATATGGGAAGGGACGTATGTACTTGCATGCTGATGCACTTGTTGACGAGCTTCTTTTCGGGTCCATGTATTTGGCGAGGCACGCCTATAGCGCACGACCACTGTTTCGAATCAGGGTCGAAGCAATATATGAATATGTGATCCTAATGGGCATACAACTCACCAGGATATGTCCTGCGAGGCCTTGAGCGGGTGCGAACTCAGCAAATTATATTGGCACATTTTCCCCCACTTCTCTTACTCATCGAGTGCGAAGATAGGCATATCCAGTATTTTCCGCTTCCTGACCATGCTCAAGTCCTCCCCCTGGCTTCGGGTTGAAGTGATTTCAACTCCCTAGACGACGCGTAAGCTTAAGATAGACGAGCGACACAGAAGGTGTGACTGGACCATCTTTCGGCTTGGAGAGCACGGCGAACGCACATCACAACTGATAGGCTATGGTGTCTGCCTGAGCCATACGCGTGTACTGACCTGGTCCGAGAACTGAGCGGAAGCCAGTAGATGGGGAGTATAGAGGATTTCCTTGTCATTCAGTGATGCATTAACTTAAGTCCGTCGACGACTTTGAAGTTACGGCCCGACTGGGTTGGCCCGTCGTGTGACATCACATCTGGTACCGCGATCATTGACTGCTCCTGGTGAAAGCATCGTCCTAGTGAGTTCGACCCAAAGCAGGAGGTATCCCAAACGGATATGTGGTCTGTTGTTTGCCTGATTTCACCTAGGAGAACACCTTTGTAGTCATCCCATTTCTTATCCTGGAAGCAAGCGGGGGCGGCAAGGCCGTACATGTGATTTCCCCCTTCAATTCTTGACAATTTCCGAGTACTGTCTCCGCATGTAGCGTAACACAGAAGCCTACCGGTGGCGAGGGGTCATGAAGATACCTGAAACAGGTCCTGAGAAATGGAGGGATGGACGAGCTAGTTTAGATCTGATTCGTGAGTGATGCAGACCTTGGAGACCGAGTTACCTCGACATACTGCCCACTGAGCGCAGGCATTGCTAGGGCACGCTGCTGTGCTTTTCGTGAACAGGGATGCGTACTCTTCCGGTCGACTCCGAGCATGAAGACTCAGACCGGTTCATTCCGAGTGATTGCCATTCGTTGCGCGCCTGGCTGCCAGTGTCTACTGCCAGCAAAATTACCTCTGCCTGTAGACCTCTTACTATGTCGCCCTACAACATGCCGATTCTCGAAGCTAATCTGGACTCTGGATGATAATTCTCTTGGAACATCAAGGCCTTCCGCGTCGCGACACGCGGCGACGCGACTCCGATAACTTGAAGCATGATTTGAGGGTAACTCAGGATCCTGAATAGCAGAAGACAGGCCCTGCCAGTGGCAGTGAGGCGGCTGATAAAGAATACGTTGAGTTGGTTTGGCAGTGTTGGACGACGTAGGATAGGACAGCGATGTCGGTATGTGCGCGAGTCGATGCCAAGTGAAGACTCTCTGGTCCGGCCCCTCTTCGCTACGAACGGGCGGCGAAAAATCTAGCACCAGTAATTCCTTTACACCCCCACTTATTCTTGCTTATGCCTGCCTGTGCGCTTTGCTTCTTCCGCTATCATCTGCCGCGAGATAGAACTAAAGCAGTCCGAGAATGGCGCCCGCATGCACGAAATATCGTCCTTCCTTTCGGCGCTCTTATTGATACGGACATTCACTGCGGCCAGGAATCAGCCACCTGCTTCAGCCGATTCCTTCTCCCTCCTTCGTAAGGTAAAGCAAAGGCAGGGACTATACTATACATATATGCGTTTCGGCGCCGGTCAGTTCCGTATGCTGAAGACAAGCATAGGCATACCACGTATGGATGCGTTTTACTGGTGAGTGAGAGCGGTCGTGTCATGAAGGTGCTTTAAATTTCCACTGTTCCTCAAGACTATTTCCGTGGTGTTTCTCATTCCTTCCTCATTCCTAGACCTGAAGGTAAGTGGACTGGCGAGGGGACCGCGTTCCTGCTGGTGATTTCCGGGATACGAAGTATCGTCATTGATTATCTTAAAAATCAGAATTGACTGAGTCTGGGAAACGACCAGCAAAAATGCATTCACGAGGTGGTCTACATGACACAAGGCTACATTAAGGAGAGTACAGATGTGATGCCGGTACATGATATAGGGAAAACTCAGAAGACTCTTGGACAAAATATGCTCACGAAACGGAACGAAGGACGGGATTCAAACTATTTTGTAAGACGTGAGTCAGACTATTTGCCACTTATGAGTAGGTCCCTCACCTTGCACTGTCTGACGCGTGCGGCCCTAATTGATGCTATAAATCTCCCAGTAAACATCATTCGGGGGCTAACGGGCTTATGAATCAGCAATCTGAACTCTCTATGGTAGAAGACCCTTACCGCAGTGTCCGGACCACTGACGTCTGGTGACAAGAAATTAAGCGTTGTCGGGTGAGCTCTGAAAGCACCTGATATGGACTCACGTTCGACTAGACATTTGTAAGTGGTGGTTTTCTTGGTGACAGGGTTGAACGTCCCACAATACGAGCCAACAGCCCACCGAAGTCCCTTCCGCCACTGCCTGGTAGTGCCGCCGGGGCCTCCAGGTTGTGCGGGCACAGTTCCCTCAGACATCTAGCGGGGTCTGGAAGAGTGAGCGAATTACTGGACCACTGGCAAGTGTTCATCCGATTTTACGGCGGAGGATGGTGGCTTACGCCCTTGAGGCCTTGAGCCTCAATTGTCCGCCAAGGAAGTATTACCAACTACGGCGGACAAGCTGATGCATCAGAAGGATGCAGGGTCGCAGTACAAAGGAATAAGGTCGAAGGTGTAACCCGGAACTTTATGCTACACTCCTCATTGGTGTTCTGGAATTCGAATATGAAAAGATGAATATAGGTAAACTTTCTACTGACAAATCTCCCCCATCACTTTTCCCGCTTTCGGGGCGAACCTGGTGAAGGGTGCAGCCACACCTTAGTCAAGGTGCGAATCCGATGTTCACCGCAAGGGGGCTTCGCATCAACATGTCGGATCATCGGGATCAGTATCCCGGCGGACCTGACGGCCTGTGTGGCTCAGGTCAAGTGGCACTTCTGTCGAGTTAAATACTCCCACTCTAACCTAACACTTGCGCTCTCGAATTCTACTTGAGAACACCCGCTATGTCTACGGAACTCGAAGTTGTCACAGCGATACGCCCGGAGGAGCTTTCCAAGAGGCTTGCCAAGCAACTTGGTGAAAATGTTAAGGCGATGCAAGAATTCGTCCAAGGTAAGCCGGCACCGTTTCGAAAGCTGTATCCAGCTAAGATACGGACGACCCAGGGAGTCACCATAAAGTATGATTCTGTCTACACTTACGATGGTAGCCCGCCTAACCTGCAACAACTGTAGACCTTCATTGCAACTTTGGAGAGCGGAAAGGAGATATTCGTGCGAGTCCATTTCCCATATTACAAACGATTTGGGGCAGGTTTGTCTCCGGCGACGAAGATGCCCTCAGAGGTAAATCATATGTCCCATTTTGCTTGCAACGAGTGGCTTACTTTGTTTAAGATCGCCACCATCAAGTTTGTAAGGAAACATACTGAGATCCCAGTTCCCGACATCGTAGCATATGATGCAGACAGTGATGGAGGCGTGGGCGGCGAATGGATGGTCATGGAATATGTGCGTCTCTAGGGGTTTGACTACTAGCGGTTCGAACTTAGCGTATGAAACCGTCAGGTGCATGGAATCCCCTTGATCAAGGCGTGGGCTACCACATCCGATGCTCAGCGTCACAAGATCGTGGAATCTGTTGCGGATGTCTGGGCTGATCTTCTTCGCCTCAGTTTCAATCAAATTGGGAGCCTTCAGGAAGATGGCAAAGACGACTTCTCTGTCGGGCCTATGACCTGCTTGCCTTCTAATAACAGCAGGGATATAACACCCCCGGATCCTTCGCATTGCGGCCCGTTTGACAGCCCCAAAGATTGGCTTCTGGCTGTAGCTGCTAGGCACCTCGATTTTTCTCAAGCAACAGTGTGCACCGCCGAAGAGCGTGCACCTATCGACAAAGTCGTAGAAGAGCTGCTTTCCAACCCACGACTCGAGGCAGCAGCCGAGCTGGAGATATCCAACATCGCCTTACACCACATCGACATGAACGTGAGCAATATCCTCGTCGACCACAGTGATCCGACTCGCATTGTAGCCGTTCTCGATTGGGAGGGTGCTCGGACAGTTCCGCTGTGGGCGATTCAACCTCATTTCTTCGCCCATCTAGAGGAAGCATCCGATGAGGAGGTACGAGATCTGCAGTTGCTCACTCGTAGAGCCATCGGCGAACGAGTGCCTATGTGGCTCCGCGCCACAGGGGAGGAGGGGCTAAGTCTCAGGCACTTGCTGAGAAGAGCAGAGTGGAGCCCGTTCAACTTTCCTGAGTCGGATTATGAATACGTCGACCAGCTCCTGCAAGGTGTGATAATGTAGTACAGAAGCGATGTATCAACATGAGTCCAATAAGTTCGTGTGCCAGTGGCCATCATGATTAGCATACCGCTAATGGTGTATACGACCATACCACGGCGCTCTCGCATTGTAGTACCTTTCGAGTTTCGAGTAGCAGCGTGTAGCATCTACGCCTGCCTCTCAGCAGTGTCCTCGTTGGGACAGCAATTTAAGGCGACCATCAGCGAGCTACTTCTGCAAGCCGGTCTCTTCTCTCTCCCACGTAATGGACCCCAATATTAGGAATTATACAGCGTCTCGGCCCTTAAATTAATCATCTTAAGGGCCTTCGAGTCGATGCTAATCAGTCTGGAGAACGACGAGTAAATTGGATCCGAGCGGTGGCCTACATGAAGTAACGCTACATTAAGGAGTGTACAGATATCGTGCCGGTACATGAATTAAGGAAACTCAGGCAACTCGTGAAGATAGACTAAAACGAATGGAGATGACGATGTCATTAGGACTGACTGTTGCCCCTTGTGAGTCGCGATTTCGAAACACAGGTGGCTTCCTTACCTTTCAGGCATGCATAGTGCGCCTCCTAGTTGACGCTGTATATTTCCCAGTATACATTGTTCGGGGGCTAGTGGAGGGGTCAGTGTTCTGAATTCTTTACGACGGGAAGTATTACCTGAGTTTGGGGGGAAGACTTGTCTGGAGGTGTTAAGTTCAGCTCAGCTGGCAGTTGGGAGAAGCAACCGAGGCAGACTTACGTTCCAATCTACAGTAATAAGTAGTGACTCGCTTTGTGGCTGGGTCGTATACGCCACAGTACGAGCCCT